AGTTGATTAATTTTTATATCATTCCTTTCAATTAAAATTGAACATAACGTAAGCGTCACACATCCACTCCTTAGAATATATATTATATATTAGCATTCACTGTAATGGACCTGATGATGGCAACTTAACTGGACGAAACGTTTTTTATGCTTCTGGGTTTGTTTTTACAACGATTCGATCAGCAATTAAAAGTATATTTTATTGTATATAACTCATTGCCAGTTGCCCTATTTTGATATCATGCTCTTTCTACTTTACTCATTACTATTAAATAAATAACAATGTTTGTTTGTAATTAAGCACAAAGCTACACAATGGGATATCTGTGCTCTCCCCACCACTGGTATCAAAACCCGGATTCTAGCGTTGAAAGTCCGCAGACAAACCGCTGTGCCACTGGGGGGCAAATAACATTAAAGTAACATACCTAAAGATAATTTATGTGATCATATTAAGAAAACCATCCAAACGAATATATATCCAACTGTGTAAAGAACATGCAAACCAATGAATTTTTATATGGTGGTATGTGCTGTTCTTCAGTGGCAATAAACTTTGAATGCAATAGATAACTCTACTATCTTTATCATAAAACTTGGAACGTGTATCTATCCTATAGCTTAGTGACCATAGATGTGATCATAGGGATGCATAGCCAAATGTTTAATGATAAAAATTCTAGTGTGGCCAGGGTTATGACTTAACCATTGCTTTTTTAAAAATAGTTTATTGTAAAGTAAACTACAAAATTTGTTATTTTGTATATTTGTTTTTAGCGCAAACTACATAATAGGCTATCTGCACTTCGTCCACCACAGAGAATCGACCTCCGGATTTAAGTATTGTAAGTCCGTAAACTTACTGCTGACCCAATAGGGTACATTTCTTACTTAAAGCAAACAGGCAAATACACCACTTTTCCTGAAAGCTCAGTTTCTATATATAGTTTTCATTCACAAATTTATTTATCTAAAAACTAATATTCTAAAAGTTCACCAATTGCACTGTTTCACGCGCAATATAAAAGGATGTTAATAAAGAAAACACTATATTAATATCTATTTTGTGTGGATTAAAATACGGTGTAAATACATCATATGATGTGGAATTGAAAAGATAGAGAAAATTACAGTTAACACATGTCGGTCATTCTCTTTGCATATATTCCACACAAGCTAAAAAAAAATAATATTAAATTACGTTTACCTGTCATTATTTTCGTCTTGTTACTTATTCCTTTGTTTTGAAATTGTCGTCAGCGACTTTTAAGTATATATTTGAAAATATAGAAATCTTAAACATTGATTATTCACAGTAGGTTGGAGAACTTTAATGGATTACAATGGATTATTGAATGAAAACAAAACGACGTTTCGCCTTCTATACGGAAGCCTTCTTCAAGACTTCCCCCTTTTCCTTAAACAGTCAGTTGCAGTCCATTAAAGATTAAAACCTATTTTGTCTACTCTGCCAAAGTTTCATCGAAACTACATTAATTATTCATGTTTCCCAAACAAATTTCTGACTGCTATGATATAATCTGTAAATGGTTAACGTTAAAAGTATAAATTAAATGCACATATTTGTGTGTGCTTAATGTTTGATTTATTTATACATAAATAAACCATAACCTTGTTCTTTATTAAACACAAGAATGGCTGGTATTATTTTTATTTCTTCATTGTTTGTTTGTTTGTTTTTAATTATGCACAAAGCTACACAAGGGCTATCTGTGCTCTGCCCACCACGGGTATCGAAACCCGGTTTCAAGCGTTGTAAGTCCGCAGACATACCGCTGTGCCACTGGGGGGCTTATTTCTTCATAATTACTGTTAACGAAAACGAATCTGT